TCGCTTGCACGCATTGCGTCGCTGACCCGTGTCCGACCCGCGTCCATCGATGCCTACATCGATGAAAAAGGCATTGTACAGTGCTCTGGGTTTAACTAATACACGCCATCATATTACAGTACAAGAAATGCACACAACGTGCTTCGCTGTAATAAAGTTGCGATGGGAGAACACACGAGAAAAGCACTTGTGGTCGGGCAACCAAAAGAGGAAGTGAGCTGACCAGGCTCGGTGTATATTAGCAAAGCAGGGACAGCCGAGACTGGTGGCTGAGCGTGGCTGTGCGTGTCTAGACGCACAAGTCTGGGTCTGCAGCGATGAGCTTGCAGTAGCCTCGACGTTGTGCGACCAAGCCCTGAGATAGTGGGCTGCCGGAGAGAACAGGGCTGGCTAACCGATTGACGAAATCGGTTAGATGATCCGGCTAGCTAACCGGTTCAGCTAACCGGTTAGCTGTGGGTGTGCGAGTCGGCTCTCGCTGGTCTAGTGTGTGTGTGGGGAAAACGTCATCGCCAAGGGCTAATCCCTTGAGGCGACGCATGCAAAACCCCACACGTCGAGTGACAAACAGTGGGCAGTGATGAGCCATGATAGGCGGCGAAACCTACCAAGAAGCTCCCTTCTTGACTAATAAGTTCAAGTCAAGCTACAGCCGGCGTGAGGTTTGTCGATCCCAAATCGAAACTTTTGCAATCTTCTCAAATCGCTGTGATACTTTCAGGGACGCTTTCTCTAACGTTAGCTCGAGAGAGGTTGTATGTCGACGCACGTGGCTATCAAAGGCCTGCAAGTATTTGTTTTGAAACTCGCCAACAATTGATGGTTTATTCCAACATAAATCAGCTAGATATTCAACGCGAGCCAATACATGGCGCATTGAGACGACTACCCTTTGCATGGTGGGACTATAACACACGTGTGCCTGTTAAATCGAAGAAAGAGAAGAAAAGAAGGAGAAGTTCGATATGGCGTGACGATCTTGTGCTAGCGGTACTCTGCGCGCGCGCGGCGGGAGCTCATGGCGGGTGCTCCTACAAACATGCCGTGCGTGGTTTTCATGCTGGTTTTTGTATACCTGTGTGGTACCTTTTAAACGCGCCTATAAACACTAATTTCTACCAATGAACGAGCGTAAAAGCCTTGTAGCCAATGCGGGTGTTGCACTGCGCGAACGCAACACCCGCATTAGTCAGTTTGTCCCGCTCACGCAGGTTTTTGACCAATTAGAATCGTTGGCGCCGAGTCCAGAGAGCTGGGTATTGACCGGCGCCAAAGAGAGAACATCGGCCCGCTGGTTCAAATGGCAGTTGCAGCTGCCGTATGATGAACTCCACCGAGCACAACGCCGCGCACCAAGCCCGGGACGTGGCACACTATTGTCGGCTGAGGTGTGGCAAAAATAGCTCGCGTCACCAGCTGCCTTGAAACGACGGAGTCGCCTTTCCTGGCGTGGAACCGTTTGGCAAAAGCTCTTCAATGGCGCTGCGGAATGCCTCGATGCCATGCGATGACGCAGCGTGCTTGTCGGCGCTGTGCGTCTCGCGCGCGGCCGGCGTCAACTGGACCGCACTCTGCGCCGCACCGCACAGCGGGACGTGGGACTGCTGTGGCCACAAGAGCTACAATCACGTGTTTCCGATCGCGCTTTGGCTGAGCTTTGGCTGCGTCACGCTTTGGTACCACCTGCGCACGGGCCTTTTCGGCGATCTTGTGCTTGGCGTCCATGCACTGCACGACATTCGGACACAAGGTATTAGCACTTAGTGGCGACATGTGATCCAACTGTTCTTATTTAGCGCTTGGGGTGGTCGTCGCGCGCCAGAAACGTGTGATTTTTGGCAAAATGCGACGCGACCCGCGCCGTGTTCTCCTCCTCATTTCGATGGCGTACGAAGTCGTGGGCTTTAGCTACATTCCTGGCCAGCTGCTTTTGTATCAATTCTTCAACAGCGGGTCGTTCGTGGGCCAATTTTCAGGCGAACTGCAGTGGGCAAAATGCATCCTGGGTGCGATGTTGCTTGTGTTGCTCGAGGCGTGGCCACCGCGCTGCTGGCCGCGGTCGTGGACCAGTGCCCGGGACAAGCTCCTCGCGCCGCTGCTCTACGATGTCTGTTATACGACAGTTCTCTACGGCGTCGTCGATGTTGGTGGCTGCTGGAACGGCGCCGACAATATCCGACTACCGGACGGCACGAGTTGCGCCAACACGTCACGGTTTTGGCTCTTCCCAACATTTGGGACTCTGCTTTTTATCGCCTTCTACTATGGTAGGCAATATCTCACGATGGGCAGACTCTGACTTGAGGTAGGTACGCTCGAGTACAAGCGGCGGCTGAGCGACGACATCTTCTCCGTTCAGTTCCGCTACCACGCGTCGTTCAATGGTGTTATGACAGTCATGCGCACCGGTACAATGACCCTAATATCGTCCTTCCGCGATACGATACTAAGAAGCGGGCTGTAGCTGGGGTCCTCGGTTTCTACGCCGTCGAAAAAGCCATGCTCGAGCTCGATGCGCTCATTGTCTCGGTCAGCGTCAGCATTGTGCACGTGTTCATCTTTGCAACTTTGCTTTACTACAACTACATCCATCAGCCGGTACGCCACTTTGTCGCTGCAGTGCCTCGAAACACCGTGGGTAGTGTTTAGGGGTCGGGTACCTCCCCAACAACCTGCGTAGTCTTTCGTTTGCGAGCGCTTGCTACTCGGGCACGCTCTTACTTGTTGTTTCCATCATGCAACTGAGTACGGTCGGAAACGAATGGACGACCCACGAAAGCCTCTTTTTGAGTGTCGCTGCCGTCTGCTACGCGCCTCTGGCTATTGTTGTCTGGCGCTGGAACTGCACCGCCGCGCTGCGCTACCAAGTGCCCGACGCATCTCTTTTGGAACTGCTGCGACACAGTAACACCCGCGTCCGCGCCGTTGCCGCCGTGAGCATGGTACTCGAAGACGTTGTTCTTGACCCTGTGGAGATTCGTGCGCAGATGCTCGCACTGCATGCAACGCTGCAAGCGGCGCCCGACGCTGAAGATGGGTGCGTCGCAGCGTACTCATGTCAGGCGTTATGGCACTTGTGGCGCCATCGGTTCGAGCGCAACGAGCCTTTTCTCGAGACGCCAAAGCGACCGGCGGCGGGCTGGAAGTTTGGGTGCTGGGCGCACAGCCGCGAATCGGGCCCGACACTGGCCCTTCTCCAGCCAACCGTACACGCATTAGCGTCGGGTGCCACGACCCGAAGGACCACGCATCGAACCTCTGACGCTCGCGTTTCGCGGCTCTCGATCGTGGGCTCGCGACGCATGAGCCTTGGGCGCCTCGCCGAGCAACTTACGTGTCGGAACGGTATCATGGGGATTTTTGCACCCATTGCTTTTGACGCTGGCATGCACCGGTGTGCGACCTACGCCGTCGCCGTGCTTGCGTCACTCGTCCGGAGTCGGTACGCCAAAGCGCGCTTCATTGCGGCCAAGATTCTCTTTGAAATGTACAAGTGCCGCGTGCTCCAGCTCACGAAAGACTCGATCGCGTTTGTGGCGATCACGCGGTTGGTGTCGTCACCTCGCCTCGCAGATGCCGATGCTGCGGCCGAGACACTGCGGCGGCTCCTGAACGAAGGCGACGGCGCCGAGCGCAAGCGGCTCTTGCTTGTGGCGTTCACCGACCACCTCAACGTGCTTCATGTGACGCAAGCCATGGCGACGAGCGAATGGGAAGTCGAAGTCAGCGTCATGCTGCTGCGGCTACTCTCTGATGCACTTACACTGTGCATGGTCAACGACACACAAAGCTCCGACATTGTTGTGCCGCCGCCCGACCGCTATTTGAGCAAAGCCGCGGTCGAGTACCTCGTGCAGGTCCAAGGCCGCTGGAAAGAACACCTCATTTTCGGCATGATTGACCACGTACTCGTCGTCATGCGACAGTGCTGCAAGCACCACGCGGCGCGGCGGCAGTCGGCCAGCGCAGTGATGCCACAACCTTGGGAAAACACGCTCATGGAGATGCACGACTACAACATCGTGCTGGAGCGCCAGCGCACGCGCGTGGACGTGCTCGCGTCTGTCCAGTGGGTGCTTGCCGAAGGGTATCCGAGCCAGAAACAGCACACCGAGCTCTCGCTCAAGACGCGCCGGGTCCTCGAGTCTGTCTCGTCGCTCATCGCGTCCCGCGACAATGACCTCATCGCGTATTTGGAGAGTAACCTCTCCGAGCCGCAGCGCTGGTACCTCGGTGGCCTCCTCGGGTCGGTTATCTACCAGCCGCAGGACGACAAACTTCCATCCTAACATCAATGCGATCCAATGTTGTTTTTGTCAGCATTTCTGATTATTATCCGGGTCGTTATCCGGACAAGTGCGACGCAGACGTGAACGGTGGGCGAGTTTGGCCGATTTCGAAGAAAATTATAACGTCGCTTGTTTCAGTATCGTCGTATTGTACATCGCTTGGGGAGCGTAAAAACCCAACTTTGGTGGCCATTGCGTCGATGCAGCGTGCTGGAATGGACTCGCAAGCAATTGATGCGAGCAAAATCGATACAGTATCAAGTGTGTATCAACTTCTTACAAGTCCATTCTAGCACGCTATATCGACGCAATGGCCACCAAAGTTGGGTTATTAAGCTCCCCAAGCGACGTACAATACGACGATACTGAAACAAGCGACGTTATAATTTTCTTCAAAGTCTGCCAAACTCGCCCACCGCTCTCACATCTGCGGTGCACTTGTCCGGATAATGAACTGGATAATATAAGAAAGGCATATGTATGCTTTCCCAGAGGTTGTGAAAGAGCCAATCAGTTCGGTGCCTGCACAAGATCCAGGCGACGCATGCTGCGGCTTGAGCGCTGCGACTGGCGGTATTTTGACCAGCTCTTCGTGGCGGCGTCGCCCGTCAACGAAGTTGGTTGCTCCAAGGTCCTATCGTTCCACGCTACCGAGTTGTGGTCACCAAATTCACCCAAGCGCATCGTCGCCGTACACTGGGGGCGCGACGAGAAGCTGCTGGCACTTGCTGTCTGGCGTGCCTGGAAAGGCCGTGTGCGGCTCCGACGCCGCATGCAAAAGAATGTCACTTGGATGACGCAACGCCGCGCTCTTTGCAGCTGGTGTCACTGGCGGGCGTACGTGGCGAGCCGACGACGCAAGCAGGTCCGTGTCCACGCGTCCTTGACCGCCCTTTCCAACCAGCTCACGGCCACGCAAACTCGAACCGCTTGGTATGCATGGCGTCGACGTCTCTTCGTCGAGTGCCACTTGAGACAGCTTGCCTTGCATCGTCAACTCGCCGTCAAGAAAGCGTCGTGGCAGCACTGGCACCAGCGTCTCCGTGCATGGCAAACACGGTCGCTGCAGCTCGCAATCGCGCGCGAGTGGCATCTCCGAGCGCTCTGGCGACGCTGGAAGCGTGGTTGCAGCGTCCATCAAAACCACCAACGGATTTGTCGGTACATGGGCTATTGGCGCCTGCAGCAACAGCTCTCCACGTGGCACGCTTGGACGCGAGCATCTCACCAACAGGCTGCGCGTTCGGCCTCCTGGCGAGAGCGGCGCGTCCTGCACTTGGTTCGAACTAGCTTTCGTGCTTGGTGTCATGCCCACGACCGGCGTCGGCAAAACGTTAGAGCGCGTCAGGAGCGTCGGCGCCGGCAGCTGCGCGATCGGTTCCGACGATGGCGCATCCTTGTCGCAAATCGGGTATGCCACCCATATACTCTTCTTGTGCAAACTCAAGCTGGCAACGTAGCAATCGAGCCGTCGTCGACACCGCGTGGCACGCTCCCATCACGCGATGCGCTTACGACAGCGCGTTTGGCACCACTGGCGCGAGTACGTTACCTCTTGGGACGCCATCCACCAGCTTTGCCACGTATGCGACCTCGCACCATCGTCTCTCGTGACGCTTTTTTAGCGCTTGCACTTGCGGTCGATCAAGCGCACGGCCATGTTGGCCTGGCGGCAGCTGATGGCGCGCAAAGAAGCTCAGATTATCGCACTGCTCTCGCTGCGTCTGCGCCAAGGTATTGCGCGCTGGCGCGAGCGGCACCACGCCCGCCGGTACGTTGCACACCAAGCTTCGCTCGTTCTTTCCGCCCAGCTCCAGCGCCGCAAGCTTGTATGGTGGCGCAGCTGGCGCTCGTGCTTTTCATCACGCCTGCTCTTGCACGTCGCCACGCAGCACGCAGCTCGATCGCTGCAAACTTCATGCTTTCGTCGGTGGGGCACGCTATGCTGGGTCTTGTACAGCCGGCGCGTCGAGGCAGAGCGTGCGTTGGAGCAGCATCTACTGCGATGTCGAGCGCGTCATTTCACTGCGTGGCGTCAGCGCCTTGTTCGGAAGCAGGTCATTGCGCCAGCACACCTCCACGTCGTATCTGATGCGCATGGTAGGAGCTTGTCGAAATCGGGCAGTGGCTACAGCACAAAGCGGCGACAACTCGACACCGCCGGATCCTGCACCACTGGTACGGGCACTGCGTTGCCCAGCAGCTGCAGCAAGTGTCGCGCATGAGAGCGGTCGCGCACCACCGACGCCGCCTGTCGCGGCAGCTGCCCGTGGCCGTCTTTCAGTGGCGCAGCTGGACGCTCGATGCTGTCGCGGTCCAGGCACTTCGCGCGGCCACCATTGAGGCGCACCATCGATTCCACCAGCGTCGAGCTATGCTGAAGGCGTGGCAGTGCGTCTGTCGCATCGCCCGACGCGCCCGTGCCTGGAACGACGCACGCTTGTGGCGGCAGTGTCGGCACATGCTGCAGGCGTGGCGCGTGCTCGTTAGACGGCAAATGTACATCTCCTCGGTCGTGCACCTGTTCGAGAACGCACGCCTTAAGAGCATCCTCCAAACCACACTGCATCAATGGCGCACCGCCACGGCTCAACTGTGCAGTCGCCGTCGCTCCATCGACTGTTTTCAATCTCGACGCGTCCGACAGGCGCAAGACCGTGTGCTCAGGGTATGGCGGTGCTGGGTCGCTTGCCGGCACCATGCGCGAAACCAAGCGCTGCAATGTGCTCTGCACGGGGAGCGTCAGCGAGCGCGCAGCACGTGGGGGACCTGGCGATCGGTAGGTTCCCATCGCGCTACAACTGTGTTACCTTGACATAGCGCTATCGAGTCATTTCCGACCGACGACAGGCGATCGCGGCTCTGATGCAACACCACACACGCGCCCGGCTACTGCGTCAGTTTGTCAACTGGCAACTATGGGCTGCGCAGCGCCGACACGTACACCGACTACAAGTTCTGATGCTGCTACGTAATGAGTTGTGTCTAGTGGCAACGCTGTCTCGACACGCGGCTGCACGCGTCGTGGCTGCTGCGAACCCATTTTGGTGCGTGGAGCGATCATGTCGACCGACGTCGGTTCTTGGCGAGTGGCGTTGCTTCATTGCACACTACGTGGCGCCACCGGCAAACACGTCAAGTCTGGTGTCGATGGCAGAAGCACCGCGACGAGCTTGAAGCGACGTTATCTCCGGCGACCGCCGTCTGCCAGAAGGCGCAGCGACGCAAGGCCTGGGTGCACTGGCGGCAAGCATGGCACCAGCGCCGGGCAGCGCACGACGCTCACCTTCACGTCTTGCGCGATGCGCTTCGTGGGCTATGGCGGCAGTGGCACCGCTATTGCCTTTTACAGCACGAGGCGCGAACACTGGTGGATCAAGCTCTGGATATGGCCTCTAAACACCGCAAGTGTCGGGCGTGGCGCCGGTGGCTGCGGTACCACGCGGCCAAGGTAGCGCAGCGTCTTTGGCTTGCACGCAGCACGCGCCATTACCTCGGCTTTCACTGCCGCATTGCGATCCAAAAGCTCTCTGCGCATGCGTACCTGAGCCGCCTCCAGGTTGCCGTGAGTCGCGGCAGCTTGCGGCGGAGCTTTGCGGCGTGGCAACGATTAGTGTCCGAACTCACCAATACGCGCCGACGAGCTCGGCAAGCTTTGTTTCATATGCAGCACTGGCGCATCCGCCGCGGGTGGTGCCAATGGCGACTTGGACACCTTCGTGCGCACCGCCAACACCACCAGGAAGGCCTTAGTACGCGCCAGTATGTCCGGCACCGGCTTGCAAACGGCCTTGGGCGATGGCTCTGTATGCTTCGCGAAAAGCAGGTATACTCCTTCTTGTGTGCTAGATCGAACAGGATCCGGTGTGTTCTGTAGCAACGTCGCGTGCGGTGGCTGCTTGCGGACGCCCACTGCAGCAAGCATGTCCTTGGAATGGCGTGGGCCTCATGGCGACACGCGACGGCTCTCCGAAAGCGCGAACAACAGCAATTTCACTGCGCTCGGCAGTTTGCAGTTACCCGCTGCCTCTTGCGCATGTGGCAACACTGGCACCTGTGGTATCGGTACCGCCGCACGAGCACCTTTCGTGTCATGGCCGTGACGCGACTCCGTCAGCATGTCTGGTTTCGGAATTGGCAGCGCGTCACCAACGCCCATCATCTCGCGCGTTTGCATCAAACCCGACGTCTTGGTCGACTCTTCACTGCCTGGTACGACCAGACACGCTACGTACTAGCGTGCCGCGTCCAGCTCGCCGTGGCCTACGACCGGCTCTCCTTGGCGGCCCGTCTGTGATCCAGCATACGAGCTTTTACTAACACATCTCTCTTAGATTGGTCGCATTGGCGTGCGACCATCGCACGCACGCGGCGTATTCACCGGTTGGTGCAAGCGCGGTGGGACCATACCTGTGCGCGCGTCCTGCACGGCTGGTACCAAGTGCTCACGTCACGAATGCTTGGTCAGTACCACGCGCAGCGGCGGTGGCAAACCAAGCTTATGATGATCCTGCATCGTTGGCACCGTCGTGCCAGTGTTGCGCAGCTCATCGCGCGTAGCCAGCGTCGTCGGCGCCAGGTCGTCTTTGGTCGCTGGATATCGCACACGTGCGTGCGCCAAGCCGTTCGGGTGATGCAGCACAAGCGCGAGCACCGCCACCTCACTATCTTGCTCGTGACGTGGCAGCGAACGGCGCTCCTTGCCCAGTGCCGTCGACGGGCGCTGCGAAAATCAAAGCACGGAGTTTGGAGTCGATGGCGGCGATTTGTCGAGCAACGAAAATTGCATGCGCAGTGGCATCGACAGCTGTGGGTGGTCCTCGAGAACGATTACGGCAGTCGGCCAGCGATGCGAGCCGGGTCGCAAGCGTATCGACAAAGCGCTCAACTGCTGCACGAGGCCCGCACCCGCCGACACTTGATGCTGGCCATTGTGACGGCATGGCGCCGCCTGCTGCCCGTCGCACTATTGGTGACGCTGCCACGTCACCGACATCAAAATGCTCCATAGAAAACGCAGCGCGACAACGATTAAAGAGACTACGTGCCTTAAGGTGTTGTCGTACAAGTATGGTAAACGTCTCTCGTGAGTACCATCATTGCTGAAGCTCGCGCAAAGCACTTGGTTGATCCATTAGACTTTATCCGAACATTTTTATCCGGACAATTTGCGTGCCAAGCAGCTGCGTGAGCGCGTGAATCGACTTTTCAGCTTTTTAACGAAGTCACTTGTTTCATTTGTTTTGGATAGAAAGTGACGCAGGGAGCTCAAAAACCCACGAATGGTGCTCATAGCATACCTACAGCGTGTGCTATGTGCCGTTTAAGTTTGGAAACTGATACATTGATACACGGATACTGTTCTCGATGGAGTAACTTGAACGGCACATAGCACACGCTATATGTACGCTACGAGCACCATTCTTGGGTTTTTGGGCTCCCTGCGTCTCTCTCAATAATAATCTAGAACGACACTAGAAACATTATTTCAAAGTCAAAAAGTCGATTCACGCGCACACGCAGCCACCGCAGAGGTGTCCTGCTGCATCAGAGACGACAAACATTCAATTGGTGTATGAATAGTGAGTGGGTGGCTCAGTTGGTTACGCAACTGAGTCACCCACTAATCATCATCCTAGCATATACATTGGCGTATATATTCACTGCAAAAAATGGATAGAAGTCCCAAGCACTCTGATTTCACATGGCGACACGTGCTATTTGTCCGACTTGCGGCAGGTGTTGTGGCTCGCTCCAAGGGCTCCGTTCATACTGCAGGTGCATCGTGGGGTCGGCATTCCTTGGTTCTCTTTGATACTACCATCGCCAACACGAGGTCTTCCCGGGGTACCTCGTGTGCCACGTCGACGCACTGTCGCACCCGAACGCGATAAACGTCACGACGTGCTTGCGTGGAGGTCCTTCATCGTACAGGAGCTGAAGCAAGCTCATAACAATTGCGCTTGCAACAAGATTTTAAAATGGGCGCCAGCATGAAGGTGCGATGCAGCAACGAAAGCAGAGGTCTCAAAGCGTCGAGCAAGCCACACATAAGTTTTGACCGCATCAATGAGACGACAGCTCCTTGCGCAGCCTTTTCACGCCAACGGTCATGCCACGTCATTTGAAACCGCCGTGAAGTCCGGTCACCGGTCTTCACGGCAACGTGTCGCAGCGGTGGCGATGCGTGGTCGTGGCCGGCCGATGAGGTCACAGAGGTACCAGTATTCGGGCGTCGTGAGCTGACTGTGCACATACGAGAGCAAGTCGCTTCGCGTGCTCAGCAGCGGCGACAACGTCGCCATGGTGGCTTGCATAGCGTCCGAGAGGTCGCTCCGACGCTTACTTGAAGCAAATCCTTCGGCCAGGACGCTGTGAATCGTCGCCACCAGCTTATGTCGCGTGCGCTGCCGGTCGTGGATGAGCTTGAGCTGTGTGGTTGTCACGAGCGTATACGCCGCGTCTGACGGGCGCGCCATGCTACCCACGAGAATGCGCGTCTTGGACAGTTGCCGGACGATGCGCCGCAGCCGATTCGGGCGCTTTTCCCAGATCTCGTGCAACGTGGCGAGAACGTCATCGAGACGAGCTGCCGCGAGGGCCGAGAGCGGGTGGCTCTGCAGCTCGAGAAGAGCTGCGACGAGCGACCGGTCGAGGTATATGGCGGCGTTGGGGCCTTTCGTGCCGAGTGCCGCCAAGGTCGTAAACCCCTGCAAAAGCACCGTGAGGAGACTCGTCACAAAGTCCCCGTCCAGCCGGTACAAGTGCATTGCATCGACGACAAGTCGTAGCGTGATCGCATCCGCTACGTGCCGACCAACCCACGCATCGTCGCGGTCGTTGGCAAAGCGGGCAAGCGTGCGAGCAGCCGCCGCGGCCTTGGTGTACGACGATGCGACGGTGAGGTTGGCGGCCACGTAAAAGAACGTGGTTGGGCTGATCTGGACGACGCCAGCTTGGTACATTTCCTGCAGCACTTTGCTTGCGAGGAGCCGGCTCCGGCGACACGAGCTTCGACAGAGCTCCCCGAGCTTTTTGACCGCATGTTCAAAGCAATTGCGGATCGCAATGTCGTCGGCGATGCGGGTGGTCATGCACACGGCGTACGCGAGGTCCGTGGCCTTTTCCACGAGCTGAATAAGCGTCAACTGGTCTGTGGACGCGCCACGGAGCATACCGCGCGGTTTTCGGGACGTATCGAGCGGTGCGGGGGCGACAAGGATGGCATGCGCAAGCGACGCCGGCTGCTGCGAAGGCCGCACAAAGCTACCTGATTTGGTTTGGAGACGCCACGACATGCTGCCCGAGAGACTCAGCCGCCGCCGCGGCGGGACCGCCGCCAAACTCGTCAAACTAGAACGTATCGAGGGCGACCGTACCCAGCAGCCAAAGGGAACAAACGGCTCGGCTTCGTTCTCGGCAACATGGTCACTTAGATCAAAATTCGTGTACCAGAGAAACCACATGGCCTGGCACGCATACGCCGGCGCAAACGCGGTCTCGGGTGTGACGGGTCGCGCCAAGCTCGCGTCCAAGGCCAGTAGTATCGACTGCAGCAATGTCGTGTCGCGCTCGGCGGTCTCGAGTGTGACGCGCACGGAGGCGACGGCGCGGACGCGGTCGCACTCGTGTTGTAGTCCTTCGAGGAGACTGACGTCTGGGACTTGAAAGAGGACTGCGCGGCGACCGTTCCAGCGCCACACGGTGACTGCAAACACCGGGTAGAGCCCGATGGCGACGAAGAAGACAGTCCACTCGGATGTACCAGCCACTGCATGATGTCGAGAGATTTGCAGCATTGAAATCATAAGGAGCACAAGTGTCGTGTAGCACGACGTAGCGAACGACAGTGCACGCAAGTTGTTGGGCACGAGTCCGACGCCCAAACACTAGAGATGACCAGAATATGACGTCAAAAAGGTCAAAGTTGGAAGAGACGTACCGGCTGGCACTTGTAGTTGTAGCGAAGCAGCGCGCCAAAATGAACCAGATTCAAAAGTGCAAAGAGCATTGCGACGAGCCACATGTCGAGACTGAGCAGCGCCTTCTCGACGGTAATGACGGTCAAGGCGCAGACTACATATCATGCTAATATCGTAGAATGAGAGAGGGTCGTACTCGTCCGTGTACACGTCATCATCGCATCAAACGACGCTTGGAAGCGAAAGCTCACGGCATACACGTCACTTGCGAGCTGTTTCTTGTACTTGAGCGTTCCTAGTCCACCCCATAACAATGGATGTAAAATCTCGAAACCTAACCCCAGAAGAAGCACCCAAAGATGCCGAGACCAAGACTGCACACGATCCAGTAGCGCTCGGGACTGGCGCACGTATAGTGATTGCCTAATGCCACCGAGTCGAGACCGTTCGTGCAGCCGACCACGTTAACGAGTGTGTACGCAAACGTCATGAAGAACATGTCGTAGAGGATCGGGCCGCCGAGTTTCGGTCGACTGAGGTGGCACTTGCGCAGCCATCGCGCGCCCAGCGGTCCCTCGAGGAGGTAGAGCAAGCTGGAAAAGACAGCAAAGAAGCCAAACTGGACTGGACCCGACACGAGACCCGCCACGTCCGACTGCGTGAGCTGGTAGATGATGAGCTGGCCGGGCATGTAGCTAAAGCCAAAGAGCTCACTCCACATGGCCCCGAGCATGAGCAGTCGTCGCGGGTCGCGGTACGTCTTGCCAAAGATGACGCGCTTCCGACGCGCGACGACGACGCCGAGCGCTACGGCAGGTTGTATTCGACGCAAGACGAGACAGTGTATACCTTGGGTCTGAATATCGTGGAGCTCGTCGGCGGTGCTGTCGAGGTCGTGGAAGAGGTTGAATTGGTTTTGCGCACACGCCGTGAGACTTAGAAAGACGAGCCACAAGGCGGCCGGCGCAATGTGGTGGTAGCCTCCGAGACCGCAGCACGACCAGAGCGCGGTCGTTGGCGCCAAGCAAACGCGACGCGGGACCGAGACACCGCCACAGACAACCGTGTCATTCGCATCCATCGGTGCTTTTAAACTCAAGAGGTAGAAAGTCTACTAGCAGTCTAAATATACTTGGACAGACACCTCTCGAATTCTGTCGACTTGACTCGTAATAACGGATGGGTGTGCATCGAGGTCATCCCAGCAGCTGCGCATGGAAACTACGAAGACTACAAACACTTAATCGAATTGAGCTACAGTTGTCCATTCCAAGGCTGTGCCTATCACTGCCAAAGCGACGGGATCGGCCTCCAAGGTGCTCGATGTAGGTGCCTAGCGTTCTATGCGGTAGCCCTGTCTAGGACTTGCAACTGTCGAAAGCTCTGCGAAAGCAATGCAAAGGCCGTCACGATGGATGCATTCGATTTCTTTAGAGCGCCGAGGTGCCCACGACGTGGTTGACGAGCGACCCAATGTGCTCGATGCGAATCTCGACCTTGTCGCCGGCCTTAAGGTAGAGTGGCGGCTTGCGCGTGAAGCCCACACCCTAAAAAACGGCCGTGATAAACGGGACAAGACGGGGATCGAAGTATGTACCTCGGGCGTGCCCGTGAGGATGACCGTGCCCGCGGGCAGCGTCGTGTCCTGCGACAGCTGGCTAATGAGCTCCGCGACAGAGAAGATCATGTCTTGCGTCGACGACGACTGGACGCACGCCCCGTTCAAGTAGGTTTCAATGCGCAGGTTTTGCGGGTCCGGGATCGACGCCGCCGGCACCAAGCACGGCCCGAGCGGGCAAAACGTGTCGAACGACTTGGCGCGGCACCACTGACCACCGCCCTTGGGCACGCCCTGCCACCGACGCGCCGAGACATCGTTGGCACACTAGAAACCAATACATCATCAGCCGCTGCCGTCGCTATCCAGGGAAGCGCACCGTGTAGCCCGCGACGTAGCGCAGCGCGTCATCGACCGAGACGTTGCGGCAGTCGGCGTTGAGCACAACCGCGAGCTCGCACTCGTAGTCGACTTCGAGCGGGTCGCTCGCAATGCGCGGCAGCACGATCGGCATCTCCGGGTCGGTCACCGAGTTGACGTTCTTGAAGAAGACCACGGGGTGGTTCGGGATTGGCATGTTGGTTTCCTTTGCGTGGTTGCGGTAGTTGAGGCCGATGCCAATGATCTGGGTTGGCTGGACCGGCGCGAGGATCCGGCGCACCTGCGCGACCTCGGGCGTCAGCGCGAGCGACCCCAAGACGTTGTCCGCCGCGAGCACCTGCGCCGTGGCGCTGCTGGGCGTGGCCTGCTGGCCCAAGCGCACGGCGCCATGCTCGTCCCGGAAGCGGACAATGCGCGTTGCGGTCGACATGGCCCGGCGAAGCGACACTCGAGAAATGACCTGCTGCATCTGGGTGGGGACTGCCAGCGGGTCGCAATCCGGCCATTCGTTTCCGGTTAAATTCCGGATAAAGGTGGCTTGCCACAAGATTTTACCCCAGCCGCCTTCGAATGTCCCAATGTCCCGACCCACAATCGGTTTGTCCCTCTCAGAAGCCCCTTTGAATTGATGGGCAAAAAGGTTTCTCCCACCGTTGGAGCATACAAACCACAAGTCCACATAAATATGTTTTAAACATGTTCAAAACGTATTTCTTAATTGACCTTATTTTAGGGATCGCATTCACTGTCAGTCCTTCTTGCGAGCTTGGAGCGCAGCGAGGAGGCTCATGGGCACACCGCCGCCCTTTGGCGTCGGTCGCTGGGGCATCGCCGGGGCCTTGCGCGACGTCGGAAGCGCTGGCTTGGCCACGACGACCGCCGGCGACTCGACCGGCACAACATCGGCGGCCGACGGGAAGACGGCGTCGCTCGGAAACCCCCACGACGTCGCGTATACGTCGGCGGCCTTTTGCTCGAGATGGCCAGGGCAGCGTGTCTTGAGCTCGCAGGCATGGTCAGGTCCAATGTGGGCTTCAATGGTGGTCACGTCGCGCATGAGGCCGTCGCGGAGACTCTTGAACCACTTGAACTTGTCGCCAAAGTTCTTGTTCTTGTTCTTGTCCTGCTTTTGCCACTCGGACGCAATGTCGTAGAGGGCGGCGTAGAGCGCTTGGCGCTCGAGGAGGCAGAGCTTGTTGAACGGCAGCTTGACGAGTTCGCACGGGTGGACGACGAGGATCTTTTGTGGCTCGACGCGCAAAAGGTGGAGGACCTTGAGCGTCTTGAGGCGGCGCGCCACGTGAGGCGCATCAAGTCGAGAGCTCTGCGCCTGCAAAAGCGCTACGAGCGCGTCCTTGGAGAGATTCGCCACGTGCACGGGAATGCCTTGGCGTACCGAGCGCAGCGCGGCCTCGTGCGTCGCGAGGTACTTGGCATGCCACGCGATCTCGGCCTCGCGGATCTCGGCTTCGTACTCTTCGGACGCCATCATGGCCACGTAGCACTTCTCCATCTCCTGCTCGAGCGTAAAGTACTCGCCTTGCAGCGCGGCTTGGACGGCCTTGTCCGCGTGTTGCACGTCGCTCGACCCGATCTCGGCCATGCGCCGCGAGATCGCCGTCATGGACGCCTTGGCGTCCGCGTACGACATGTTGTCGGCGACCTGCATGCCGGCTTGCTCGAGTTGCCGCTTCAAGCGCCGGTTCTCCTTCTCAAGGTCGCTCACGGGCCGTGCGGGCGTCTCGCGCTGGAGGACCTCGAGCTGCCGCTTGGCGATCGCGAGCTGGCCTTCGAGCTGGGCGACGCGGGCGTTCGAGGCTTGGAGCGCCGGTGCGTCGCCGCCGCTGGCACATCGCTTGCACGCGGCTGGCGATGGTGGCGCGCGCTTGATCAGCGCGTCGGGGCAAAGCTCCTTGGCCGCGCTGAGCGACAGGCCGCGCTGCGCAGGTGGGATCTCCCACACGATGGCGTATCGGGACGGCGGCAGCGGGTGCAAGCACGACGTACACTCGTCGTCGCGCGCGCTATAGCCGCACTTGAGCTTGGCTTTAGTGAGCGCGTGGCACTTGGCGCACGCAGCGAGGTCGCACGCGTCGCACTTGTGGCGCTTCTGGGCAAAGCCAAAGCTATAGCCGCAGACGTCGCACTCGCTAGGATAGAACCAGCATAAGTCCGAGTAGTAAGGGATACGCGTACCGCGCCTTGCCGACGATGCGGTCGAGGAGGTTCGCAATGAGCTTGGTCTCCTCAGTCTTCTTGGCCATCGCAAGATGTGTCTCTGCTTTAACTCTGCACAATCGCAAAATGGCTTTTCCCAGCTAGTCAGTGTTCAGCCTTTGCGGCGAGAGCAATAACACCAAACAACGACAAGTACATATTACTCCATAGATATTATAAGGGCGGCTCGTGACTAGAGAGGGGACGCACAGAAGAGGCGGCAATGGCAGCGTCGAGGCTCGCGTTCATACCACCGCGAAACATGGCGTTGCGCACGATGCGAATGTGCTGTGCGATCTGCGTGAGCTGGTCCTCGTCGCTCGCGGTCCGTGGCACGAGCACGTTGAACTGCCGCGCCTCCACGTCCGGCGCCACAAACCCGTCGCGCGTGTAGGCGTGCGTGTTGATGTTGAGCTGCCGGACGAGCGTCGTGGTCGCATTCACCGCGCTCACGACAACCCTACCCCGCGGTGGCACCATGAGACGAGAAGCGCAGAAGGGAGTAGCGTCGTACACGTTGCAGCGGAACCGCTCCATGGCCGTAGTCGCATGGCGCGGGTCGTTGTGGACGCTTTGACCGACGATGACGAGCTCGGTTGGTGTGCGGAACGTGCGCCACACCTTGTTGTCGACCCAGGGTGCGCCATCGCGAGTGCATATGCCTTGGGAGTAGACGATCTCTTCGTCCATGAGCGACGTGATCTAGAGGCAAATTGGCATCGCGATTTCGGGCAGCAAGGCAGCGTACATGCGTGTCGAGCGCGTCCCGTCCTGCGAGTACAAAGTCCCCGTCGCCAGTCGTGCAGAGGACTGTGAACGCAGCGCAGACGGCGTCCAATGGCGCATGAAGGAGCCGCTGGTACTTGGTGTAGTACTCGTGCGTACCATTCTCTGTCGTATGCACGGCGATCTCGCCAAACGTTGCGTGCTGGCTCTTGAAGAGACCGTGCTCGTGGAGCAAGGGCTCGGCGTGGTGGTAAAGGCGGTCGGTGATCCACTTGAAGCCGAGCTGGCGCGCCTCCCAGGACGCCGGTAATGTTGCTGGCGCCATGCTCAGGTACCGTTCCCGCGGGACATGCTGTCGACGAAGGCCATGAGACGATGATGAGTTGGTAGTGTGGAGAGGTACCGGGATCGCTCGACGCACCCAGCCGTGCATGGTCTGTGCCAGCGCCCGCGCGCGCACCACGTCGCTGCGCAGCGCGCGGTTTGTGTGCAGCGTCGCCTCGGTCGACTTGCTCAGCGCGGCGGCGACGTCGGCCCACGGCAACGGGCCCGTCGCGGCGCGGCGCAGCGTCGCCGTCTCGAGCTCGAGGGCGTAGATGGTCCGGTGCAGCGATTGGAGCTCGTCCTCGATCTTCTTGCGGAACGCGCGCTGCTTCATGCGGTTGTAGGCGCGCTTCTCGAGCTTCTTGGCGTCGACCTCCATGGCGAGGACGTCGCACCGCATGCCTCGTCGTGAGTATCAGCGTGTGGCACATGCCACCAAGGGTGCCGAAAACAGCTGCCTTTTTTTCGAGCGAGAAAGGGCAAAGTGAGCCAAGGAAGAGACGATATTGTCTGCAGTGTCTCGTCAATGCGAGAAGTCACGAGACGACGACTAATACACTACGGTGCAACGACGAATTGACTATAATTCTAGTTGACTAGATACAACCCGAGCGGCCACGGTCGCGGGTCGCTCCATGGCTCGCGTCAGCGAGGACCGAGCGCGACCATCTGCTGGCGTGTTTGGCAAGCACGTCGATCACGTGCAGTTGCACACTGGGGGATATCAGGTTGGCGGCGTGCGAGCCACAGAGCGAGGTTGCCTGCGGGAAGACAGTACCCGACATGCGATTGGTATCTTGCGGAGCCGGTGTGGGTATCGACGCGCATCATCCGACGTCCTCGCATGTCGCGACGCCTGCTTTCCAGCTGCGCACATCCCAGTGGGAACGAGTATACCATTACTTGTTGGCACCCACAAACACTACGACGGCTGTGCGAGTCGGCAGCAAACCGGTGCGTCTGGCTACGGCGTCCTTTGGTGCGACCACGCCAGCGCGATGTAGCGCCACGTGTTGCGTCGTCCGAGCTGCTGTTGAGTAGATCGTTTCATCGCACGCTACACCTACAAACAGCGCTATGAGACGTGCCTGTCTATGCCGACGGACACCGTACCTCCCATCGCAATGTGGTTGAGGACAAGTAGCTATATTACGTTGGCCGCGGTAATACTCGCTGCATGGCCGACGACGACGCGGCGCGGCTCACCAAGCGGCTCTACAACCGGCGCAAGCAGCGGGAGTTCCGCGAGCGCCTCGAAGGCAAGCTCTCCGAGCTGCGCGCGCTCGTGACGACGTTGGAAGCCGAGCTCGATCGGCGACGACCGCAAGCGAATAAGAGCGCGCTGCTGCTGCCATGGGCCGACGTCGCATCGGCCCTTGTCTCTTCCGCCAACGACGCATCGCGCTGCCACCACAACCTGCGCGTCCACGCCGAGCGACTCGAGACCGTGTACCGCACACTGCATACGTGGGTGCATCAACCGCACTTCATCCACGTACGTGCCTACTGCGCTTCACCAACTTCCACTCGACTCAAACGTGTAGCCAGCCTGCTACGCGGTCCGCGACAGCCGTACCTTTACCAGCACCCGCGTCGGCCTTGCCATCGACCTGAACGTCCGGCGGCTCAGCTGCGAGTGGCTCCTTGACCGCCTCTACTTCAACGCCGAAGCACTGTTAGAGGCGCACGGGCTACCGCGCGGCGCGCCAATGACGCATGACACCAACGTCAACTTCTTGTTCGATGTCAATGACGCAGGCACGCACGAGTACGCCACCGCACGGCAACACCTCTTGCGCACATCGCTCTCGCACACGGCCAGCGCCTACACCCTCATGGGCCGCGACGGCGACGGCGACAGCAGCGTCGCGCTCGCCGGTCGGCGTGTCCTCGACCCCGAGGTACGCCCTGTCTCCCACCCTAACCCTATCCACCCGTGTAGCTGGTCGAGATGCTCGCAGCCAAGAACATAGTCTACTCCCAGTCCATGTACCATCGGCACGGAGCTCCGTGGCGCGACAACCGCCTCTGGCGCGTCTACACGTCGCCCGACAGCGTCGTGGTCGTGAGCCAAAACGTCCACGACGACCCGCGCAACCCGGTCACGCCGCTTCAGCGCTTCCGCTACGTCATGTACGCACGTCTTTATCCTCACTGAGGGCAGCATCTATGAGGTACTAGCATCGCGGTCGATGCCATCGATGCGAATCGCGTCCGTATTCGCGAGCTCAAGTACTGCTCGCAGTCGTTTGACGACGTGGCTTTTGTGCCCCTGCCCATTGAAGCGCAGCAGTTTGGTATCGACGTGAGCTCCGTTGCGGCCGCCGACGCCCAGCAAGCCGCGCTGCTCCAGCACGTTCATCGCGACGTCACATCGTTCGAAGCCGCCTGGGACCGCGCGTTCGACACGGCATTGCGTCGGACACCGACACCAAGCCACCCCGTGGATAACCCTACACCTAACACACCGTAAACGACAAAGCAAATCGACACTTCGGGTGTTGTCGACTCGTATACGATTCGTCCTTAGCGCGGACTCCACATCCCGAGACGCGTGTCGAACTGCATGCGCATAAACTTGTAGTAGCGCACGATGAGCTTGTGGTCGTGAGCTTTCACCAGTTCGTCCATCAACACGACAAGCAGCGGCCACACGCCAAGCGCGACCCAGCAGTACCACGGGACATGGCTCAGAAAGACGTCGAGGCTCACACCGTCGACGCCGACGCGACCCATGCGCAGCACCGATATCGCCATCTACCACAGACCGATCACAATTCGGCGCCACAAAGGTATCATTCCAACGCTAATACCTGCAAGAGCAAGAGCACGACGCATGCGAGCAGCCATGGCCGGTTGCGCAGCGGCGACTCGGCAACGAGGCTGTCAGAGCGGTAGAGGTGCCCGCTGCTCGTCACGATCGCAAACACACCAACCCCAAAGAGCATCATGCCTTCCGCGCGGTCCAAAGCCGCGTTGATGGCCGGCGGCCGCGGGTGGATGAACAAGGCGTCGTCGCGCCACGCATGGTCCCACCACGCACTCTCGAGAGCTCTCGGGTCGCCGCGGAGCAGGGCCGTCATGCGCAGCGAGAGGCCAAAGAAGCACTGAAAGAGACAGAGCACAAAGAGCGAGGACGGCAAGTAGCGCAGTGCAAAGTAAACGCAAATGCGCGAGACGGGCACTTCGCTCCAGTCGAGCGGCTCGTTCTTGGGCGGCGTGCGCGACATGAGCGCGCGGTGCGGCGGCGACGAGAGCATGCACAGCGAGAGCGTCGGCACGAGCAGCCAGAGCAGCCATAGTATGGACAGGACGCTGAGCTGCGCGACTTCTGGGAACGGCGCGAGGTACGCGAGCACCAAGACGGTTGCGACAAAGAGCTGCATGACAAAGATGTACGTCACGAGCTGCGTAAAGTTGGTCAAGAGCAGTCGCCCGAGACGAAGGAGCTCGATGAGCACGACCGGCGACGCGCGCGAGAGGCCAAAGTCCCGCACGGTAAAGCAGCACGTGAGCGTGTTCAAGATCTGACTCAGCTCCATGTCGGCGTCCGAGAACACAGGCAAGAACGGTCCCTTGGGGAGTTCGTCGCCAAAGAGCGTTTTCGGGTTACCCTCAAACGCGACGGCAAGGTCCGCTTTCGAGAAGAGCGGCACGTTGCTCTCACGGAGCGACGTGCCGACGCCGAGGACCACCTCGTGGTTCTCCTGGAAGATGCCAATCATCTCTTCGATGGTTTCGGGCGTGCTGTCCGTATACAGCGACACCAACAGCGGCACGTTGTCGACGGTCTCGAGGTGCCGACGAATCGCCGCCGTACCTACAACCGACTATGAGACAAGTGCTCGCGTCACAGGACTTAAGAACCGTGCGGCAGGCGGGCTTTGACGTCCCAGTCCGAATAGTTGGACGTCATACGGTGGGGGTCTGGGCCCTCCGAGTCGCGGAGGCTGATGGCGCAGTTCCAGTCGGTTTCGATGCCCATCTTCTCCGCGAGCAGCTTGGACCGACGCATGTTGCGCGGTGAAAAGTACACGAAGCGGACGCCCGACGCCGTGAGGTCTTCGATGAGGTCGACGATGCCCTTGCGCGGCTGCACGCCGGACGCTACCATGCCGAGAAAAATCTGGTCTTCTTGGAGCTTCCAGAGGTCGTCGCCGCCCGCGTGGCCTGTCGACGACGCGCCGTCATTGTTCCAGTGCACCGGGTACCGTTGGTGCGGCGTCGCTACGCGTCATTGCCTCAGTCCACATACGATGGGACGGAGTAGTCTACTGGGACTCATGTGGGCGCCGGCAAAGCGCGGCTCGGTCGATTGGGTGCGCGCGGGGGACGAGGTCGACGTCCACGGTTGCTTCGGGTCCATCGTGAGCTCACCGGCCGCATGGTCTTCGACGAGAAACACCGACGGCAGCGTCCCGGCGCTTGACGCAAAGAGAGAATTGAACTTTTGCGCCACCGGCGCATACGTTAGGGCGACGCAGTCGAGGTCCTCGACACGCCACTGGTTGTACATGTCGAGGATGAGCCGGCGCTTCTCGCTGCTGAGCGGACAAATCGACTTGCCGTCCCAGTACTCGCCGCACTGCGATACAACCAGCGACGGGTGGCCGCGCGAGAGGAGCTGGTGGCCATGCGACCGCTTGTCGAGCACGATGTTTGTGTACAAGTGCGTCTTGAGATACCCGCGGTACCGCGTGTCTTCCTGGCCTTGCGCATGGTGGTCGGTCGTGTGCTCTTCGATCGCGAGTCGCGGGGCTATGACGTGTATCGACCGCCGTCGCTGGAATTTGTCCAAGTCGGCCGGCTGAAACCCAATCTCGCTATCTCAATTTCGATTCATTTCGAGACAAATCGAAGAACGTACCGCGCGAGGTTGAGGAGGTGCCGCGGGTACGGCAGCAAGCGCACATGCCCCGAGAGCTGCAGCAAGCACTGTTGAATGTCCGCTTGGTGGCTCAGTTGCACGTCGACGCCGGTCGGTGGCGTCGAGAGGTGCCGCAGCGTACTCAAGTACTCGGTCTTGGGGTCTTCGCAGTCGTTGAGCAAGATCGCGAGGCCCAATGGCTTGAGCGACGGCAGGTGCAAGCGCCACTTTGGGTCCTCAAATTTGAGGCCTGTCGCGCACGATGCTTCCGGGTGCAAGTCGAGCACGGTCGAGTTGGTCGCTTCGTCGTTGAGAAGGAAGATCTCTTCGACACAGGGCGCGTCTTCGCACAAAATGTCATCATCAAAGCAGCACAGCATGGTTGTGCTGCCGAGGCGCTCGAGCAACCGCAGCCTACCGACCATGAGCCTCGTATTCATTTTGCACGCCGTGCTACCCCGAGTACGGAATCGTGAGCTTGCTCTTCTTGCCGTTGTGGTACCGCGTCCGGTGCGCGTCGGTACAGTCCATGCAGCGAAACTGGAGCGTCGACCAAAAGTAATACCACGACCGCTCGACCGTAAAGGCCTTCTGGAGCTTGCTTGAGCGGAACTGCTCGCGCTCCTCCACGTCGTAGACGTCCATGTCGTCTTCGTCCAACGGCGCTTGAAATGACGTGGTTTGCTCGGCGGCCAAAATGGCTTCGAACGCTGTGAGAAGGTGCGCGGTGGCTGCTGCCTCGCCGAGAAACCATACAAACGGGGCGTGCAGCGACACAAAGCAGAGGAGGAGACCGACGGGCCCGAGGCAGAGGTGGTTGACTGCGTGGTGCAGCGGCTCCGGCAGCACCCAGGCGCGCCCGACGATGCACCCGAGAAGAATGCACGCAAAAAGAGCGCACGTATAGCGGGCACAGACGTGGCCAGCGTCCTGGAGCGTCTGAAGCGCAGTCGACGGCCGCGACACGTTGAAGATCGAGTTGTAAATGTCCTGGAGCACTGGCGTCTCTTCCATGACAAAGACGTGCATGTCGCCGCAGAGATGCAAGATGACGTCGGGCTGGAAGGTCGCGTCGATGCGCGGCGACTCGGTCCCGCAGTTGGTCGATGAGAACGCGTCGACCTTTTGCCCGCGCGTGTACAAGATCGGCGTCGACGACGTCGGGTACAGTAGGCGGACTTGACCTGGGACGACGTCGCCGCTCATGAGCGCAATCACATCGCCGTCGACGAGAAGGTTCATGGGCATCGACTGCCACTGCGAGTCGCGGTAGCATGCCACGTAGCACGACGACGGCGACAATTTCGCGTCCTTGCGCGACTCTTTGGGGCTCGTCGGCGACGACGCTTTGTAGAGCACCTTGACGGCGTACCGAACGCGCTCGGCCACTTCGCGCCGGTCGCGTCGGGAGAGCGCTGTGTTCAAGAGGCCATTGAGAAGCGCCGCGATGCTAAGGAAGAGACCTTCAAACAGCTCCGTGTAGCGCGACGTCTCGCCGTTCGCGGCCCGCCGTTGCGCATTCCAGCCGTACGCAGCGTACCGCGTCGCGCTGCACAGGAGCAAAAGCAGCATGGACGTGTCGACGATGCCAAAGAAGAGGCCACGCGGGTTGCGCTGCGCTTCCGACGACGACAAGAGCTGCGATTCGATGGCCGCCAAGAGCTGCTGGCGGGCCGCGGCCGTTGTGAGACCGATTGGCGCTCGCTTGAGCGGACTCGCGCCGGCTAATGGCGGTATCGGCGGTTTACCTTCGTGCATCGAGTCGGTCCGCCACAGAGCCGAGAGGCGCAGGCCGTCCGACGACCGCGGCTCTAGAAGCGGCTGCTGCTCTCCGGACATCGCGCGAGGTCGACTCGTCAATATCTATAGAATACCACAGGTCGATACGTTGTCGCCGGATATTATATCTCACAGGTTTCTAAAAACACGCAACCAAAGTGCAGCAACGCCAGCGACAACTTGTGCACAATACGACGGTACTACTCGTACTAGCTAGCACCAACTGCTATGGCACTCTGCATTAACGTCGCTGCTGCAATACGCAGACTTACGGAGCGCGGTGTTTAGAATGACTCTGATGGCATTGCTTGGAGCTGCCTTTGCTAACGTGGCTAGCGAGCAAGGGTTGGGTATCGCGGGACAAGGGTCGTATTACAATATTGAAATCTAAGAGGCCATCACGGCGTAGTGTCGGTCGTCTGGTCAATGAGTTGCGTCTGGAGTGTGTCCAGCTGCGCCTCCAGTTGCATCTCGCGCGCGACGCTTTGGCTCAAGAGCTGTTCCAGATACCGGATCCGCGTCTTGTCGGGCACCATTTCGAGCGCTTCTCGCAGCGACGAGTCTTTCGACCGTTGTCGCGCGCGCTCGGTCGCCTGCTGCGGGTACTGTGCGAGCGTTTGCTGCAAATTCGAGACCGTCTCGCGGTCCGGGCTCAGCGCGGCCGACGTCGCAGCGGCTGCAATCTTGTCCGAGACCGAGACCGACGGCGTCTTGTTGCCGCGGGCCAAGGACGCGCGGCGCGTCGACGGCCGGTAGTCGTCGTCGTCGTTGTCACTGAACGACGACCCGTCCGAGTTGTCGTTCAGCTCGGTCATCTGCGTCGACGTGGTCGACGTAAAGCTCTCAGCAATGCGCAGATGGTCGCTGTTGTGTGTCGCATTATGCCGCGGGTGGTGGTGCTTGGGGTCTTTGGCCTACATAGTTCCATATGAGACATGTCAAAAGAATCAATCTATCAAGTCGTACCTTGGAGAGCGGGTCGAGCGACTCGACGTACGCCGGGTGCATCTCGGGGTCCCAGCGAAAGAAGAGAGCTTCCCAGAGCACGACGCGCTTCAAGTTGGCCCGCGGGTACAAGACACGCGACGTGGGTTGGTAGTTGAGATTCGCAAACCTCGCCGGCGCTTCAAGCACGCACGTCCACACCGACTCGGTGCGCTGCCACATCATGTTGTCGGCGCGCTCCTTCTCAGTATTGTACAGAAATGTGCCAAAGAGGCCCGAGAAGATCGCGTCGACGACGTGCAGCAAGAACCGCTCGTTGAACTCGAACGCAGTTGGAAACTGGCGCGTCATTTGCCAGACCGCGTCGAGGAACTGCAAAAAGACCGGCGACCGCTCGTTCGCGAGGTCGGACGCGTCCTTCCCGACGCCGACGCGGTCATGAAACTTGTGGCCAAAGCTGCACCACTCTTTTTCAACGAGCGCGGCAAAGCCCCGGATCGTTCGGTAGTGCGGGTCCAAGATGAGCTCGGCGATCCCGCAGAGCTGCGGCGTACGGTCCCACCCATCACTGCAGTGCACGAGAACACTCGCGCCTTCTTCGTGCAAGATCTGTGCGATCCGCGACCCGCCCGAGAGAATCTTCATAATGTGCTTGAGCCAGCGCGTATCTAGTCAAGTAATGAATGAAACCCTCTTTCAAAACCCATCAAAAGTGGGTGTACCATGGAGCGCGCTGTGGAATTCCTTGTGACCGTCGTCCGTGATGGTCGGGTGCACAAGGCCTACACACAAGCATATGACGAGACGCTAGAGACGACGACGACGGACTCTGAAGCGCATCGATCGAGTCGCGCATCTTGTGGATGTTGGCAATGCCGAGGAACTCGACGACAGCGTTGTCGTAGTGCGACGACTGCTCGACGCCCTTGCCGACGAGCCGGTTGCCTTGGGTCGCAATGACCTTGCGGGCGTCGACAATGTGAAGCGGCGGCGCCAAGCCCGCCGACGTCTTCTTGGCGGCGTCGCGGTACGCCTTGAGGAGCTGTCGGTCCGCCTCGCAGCGCTTGCTCTGAAGGCCGTACATGGGCTGGGACGACCGCGACAGGACGCACTTGTTGTCTGGATGGCGCCAGACCGCGATCGGAAGGCGCCCGCGGGATCGAAATTTCACACTCGACACGAGCTGGTCCTTGTCGAGGTTGAAGGGCACGACCATGAGCTGGGGGTACGTCGGGCTGAAGAGGAACCGAGTGTTCTTGAGGAGGCGCCACGGCATGCTGTTTTGCGACTCGAGGAACCCGAGGCGCTTGTACTCTTCGACGGGCGAGTAGACGAGCCAGCCGTCAACGTCCCGCGGCAGCTCGACGCCACCGCGCTTGGCGCTGTGGTACGTGAACGCAAAGACGCTGCTGACCGAGAGCGGCGGCCGAAGTTTCGACATGAACATTTGAATGAAATGGCCTTGGATCGGCTGCGGCTGCTCGTTGTAGTTGATCTTGCGTGTCACTGCGTCGTGCATCGAGAGACAGATCTTGCGCAGGTCTTTGCACGCAATGACGATCTTGAGGCCTTCGTACTTCGTCTCCTTGATCGCGGCCAATGGCACCTCGAACGACCCGTACAGAAGCGACGGGTCGTACGGGAAGAAGACGGCGCGGAAGTTGGTCATGATGAGCTCGCCTTGGACCGCTCGCTCTTTTTGTGCAATGATGACGAGGTTGGTCACGCGCTGGACTTTTTGGTTGATCTCTTCGCCTGGGAGCTTGTCAAGCTCGGTTTCGGTGTCGGGCATCGAGTACGACCCGCCTTGGCCGGCGTCCCACGCGGTCTCGCAATCGTCCGAGTCGTCGGCGCACGCGTCGAGCTTCTTGGCGGATTTGTACTTGATCTTGCCGACCTCGAGCGTCTCCATGAAGCGCTGGCGGTCGTCCAAGCTAAAGAAGGCAATCTTGCGCGTGATCGGCGCGGCCTGTCCTTGCTGGATGTTGAGGTGCAGCCCGAGCTTCGAGCTCTCCTTGGCAGTGATCGCAGCGCACGAAAACTCTTCCTTTTCGTTGGCATTGTTGGTCACATGGAACGCGAGCATGCGGCTCTCCGTGTCGATCGAGATGCGCACGGACGACTTCTTACTGAGGTTGTCGATGAGGAAGTTGTCGGCCTTCTTGACCGTGAACGTATGGATTGTCTCTTCCGACTTTGTCCCGGCGCTCACACTGCGCGAGAGCCCAAAGATGTTGAGCGTCGGCAACGCCTTGCGCGGACCGGACGCATACGACGCCGACGACGAAGAGCTCGGCGCGGCCGCTTCCTGGCTTTCCATCGAGTCGAGGGTGAACGACCCGCGCGCATACGGCTCCTCGGAGCGCGGGATCTCGAAATTGAGGCTCGATGGCGTCGCCATCGCCGTGTAGCTCGAGTGGCGTGCCATGGGTTTCGAGTCGGTGAGGTGCTCGGGTGCCGTCGTGTACAGCGGACCCGATGATGGCGCCGGCGGGTACACGTCGTCGGCCTTGGGCTTGCTATGGCTCGTCATCATGTTCCACGCCTCTAGCGTGGCCTGGCCGGCCTTGAGCACGCTCTTCTCAGCCTGCAGGAGGCGCTCCATGGTCATCCCATCGAAGGAGCTCGACGGCCGGTCGTCCTCGTCGGCCGCAGCGTACGCAGCAGCGGAAGATGCCATCGGTCGGCCCGTCGCCGCAGGTCACAATCGGCGTTATGACTAAGACACCCTTCGCCTCGCGTGAGTAATCACCGACCATACAAAAACCAAGTGGTGGCCGAACCGGCGTTCTCCATATATAAAGACGGCCCAATCAGCGATCGCGGCAGAGACAGCGCGGCCAATCCGCGTTGAGCACGCATTATCCGGCATTCGCCGGAAACGCAGCTGCAACCTCAAGGCCCGACGGCGCAGGAGCCCAAGCCATTACGCAGAGCACCGCGACCCATGGCCTTGCGTAGACCACTGATGGGCAGGTCGTCGCTAGTAACAGCGGCAACGGCTACTTGTGCAGCATCTATGTGAGGCGAGCAGTAGCCAGCGACGTGCCATACGAACGCGCAATCAATGCACAAGTAGGTGGCATCGTTGTCTGGTCGGCGTGGCACCACTGCGTGACCACCGGCATTACGAAGTGCTACCGACGCTTGCCAGGACAGTACCCGTAGACAGAGTGGTGCATCCGCAGCCATCTTGGAAGATGGCGGATGAGCCAAGCAACACGCTGCGATGTCGCATCAAGTGGCAATACCATTATGGCTGCGACCGAAAGTCCGAGCGCTTGCCGCCGACGCAGTACGGACAGCTCACGCCGTGCGTAAAGTCACAGGACGCTTGCTCGGCGGCCGTGAGCGGACTCCGGCACACAAAGCACATGGCAATGTCGGTCGCCTTGGTGAGCGCCGGCGTGAGTGCGACGCGGTCGTCGTAGATGTAGCAGTCGCCGTTGTAGTGCGCGCCGCCGCAGTCTTCAAAGTACTTGAGGATGCCACCGTCGAGCTGGTAGACGTTCGTGTGGCCGTGCTCCAACAGCGCATACGAAGCCTTCTCGCAGCGCACGCCGCCCGTGCAAAACATCACGACTGGCTTTTCCTTGGGCACCGCCTCGAGCTTTGCTTTGGCCACGTCCGGAAAGGCGCGAAAGCTCTTGATGTCGAGGTCGATCGCATTATCGAACGTGCCAAGCCGCACCTCGTAGTCGTTCCTACGACCTAATACAATAGTGTATATAATCTGTCGGCGTACCGTGTGTCGAGGACGACCATGTCCTTCTTCTCGTCCATCCAGGCCTTGAACTCGAGTGGCGAAATGTGCGTGGCGAGGCCGTCCCGCGCCGGGTTGACGCTCGGCATGCCCATCGAGATGACCTCCTTCTTGATGCGCACGAGAAACTTGCGCAGCGTAGGCGTCGCGCTCAGCGAATCCTTGAAGACAATATGTCCAATGTTGGGGTGCAGCGCACTCAAGACAGCTTGCATCGCATGCACGGCCTGCGTCGGACCGCTCAGGCGGATGTTGAGGCCCTCTTGCGTGAGCAAGATCGTGCCAAAGAGGCTCGGCGAGATGGTAGCTGCTGTTGCCAGCAGGTGGGCGCGCAGAGCTGGGAGCTCGTCCGCGGCCAAGACGCCAAACTTGTATGCAGACGAGTTGGTGCACGCGCTGTCGTCCGCCATCGAGGAAGGATGCTACAAAGAAGCCACGCGGTGGTGATTGGTCCGCGAGAGTGTAGCTCGCAACGATGATTGGCCCAGGTATATTTTTCTCTTCAATTTATTCCGCATAGTTGAATGCATATCGACATGCGATTTTCTTTAATATGACAATAAGAGCTGATAGCCATCGCGCTGCTGCCAGCGCCTTCAAGTTCAACCAAGGGTAAAATTCCAACCCGCAAACCCATAGAGCCCATGTACGAATCACGGTAGCTCTAGAGATACTACGGTCTATGCAGCGAGCGGGGTTGCCTGTATTTTAGCCCTTCGTAAACGACAAGCTATCCATTTTTTACCACAAAATAAGTTATTTCCTGAAGCATGTTGGGAGCTATCTTGGTCCAAACCAGGTGATAACGACCCCACGCACGAGAGGCAACATCACAGAGGTACGTCAGGATACCGATGCAAGAAGAAATGCTTGCGTCCAGCGGCGCGATGCACCGACACGCCACCGATGGTGTCTTTCGTTGCCTTGCGTCGGCAGATTCTAGGATTCTCAGACACCAGATTCTGCGCACAGGTTATCTAGACGGGGGGCGCCTGCAGCGACGCGATCGAGTCCCACAGCACCCATCCCAGTCGCCACGACGCGCGGTTCGCGCGCTAAAATACGCGCCCAGTCAAGCCGTGGACAAAAACATGCAAAGTCGATCGCCCAATCATATTGCGTTTTTCGTGCTGACCAACTGCTGATTGGTGCATCGAAAATCCACGCGGATTTCGACGGATTCCGGTCGGCTCTTTTTTATACGCCGTCGCCATGCTCAGGAGCCTCGGCATTAATACACGATGACCGTCGATGGCCCATGGCGCTTCCGCGCGATCGCGACTGCGCTGAGCCTCCTTTTCCTGGGCACGGTCTATGTCCTATCGCCGTCCACAGACTTGGCTTCGTTCCGCCCTGCGTCCGTGCGCGAGTACTCGACGTCGCACCTCGCGTCGCTCCTGCGAGAGCTCCCGACCTTGCAGCAGCCGCTGGCGTACAAGAGCCACAACGGCGTGCTCGAGGTGACGCTGAGCGTCGAGGCAACTCGCTTCAAAGATGGCCCGATTGCGTTCAACTCGCGCAGCTACAACGGTATGTTTCCGGGCCCGACGCTCTGCGCCAAGCCCGGTGACCTTCTGCGCATCACGCTCATCAACCAGCTCGAGCCCGACTTGCCCTCGGAGCATTTGCACATGAACACGTTCAGGGACCCGAACACGACCAATTTGCACTTTCACGGGATGCACGTCTCGCCGTCGGGCATCGCTGACAACGTCCTTCGGACCGTCAAGTCGGGCGAGTCGATGGAGCTCGTGGTCAAGATCCCCGAGAACCACCCGCTCGGCGTGTTTCACTACCACCCGCATCATCATGGATCGACGTTTTTGCAAATGGGTGGCGGCATGGTCGGCGCCATCTCGGTGCAGGAGACCGTCGACCAGGTCGATACGCTCCTGATCTTGCAAGCGTTTGCTTTTCGCGGCGGTATGCTCGCCAACCTCGTCAATGCGACACAGATCTCGCGCAGCACCATGCCGCTGGACGCTACACTCACAGCCCGCAGCCCCGAGCGCATGGCAGCCGTCTTCCCCGACTACCAGCCGCACGTCAGTGGCGTCCCCGGCGACTATCCGTCGTTCTACGTCGTCAACGGCCAGTACCAGCCGCGCATGACGCTCAGCGACGGCGAGCGCAAGCTCTTCCAGGTCATGAACGCAGGTCCGACCCAGATTCTGGAGCTCTCGGTGCCCGGCTGTGACGTCGAGGTGCACGCCAAGGATGCGTTTCCGCCCGCAATCTCGACACCCGACTACATCATTTTGACACCGGGTGCGCGCGTCGCGCTGAGCGTCGTGTGCCACTTGAACGGTATTTTGCACTTTCTGAGATTGCACTTTCTGAGATTGCACGTAGGTGCCAAGTCGGGTGTGTTTCCGTTCGTCTCGATGCCGCACAGCGAGAGCCAAGAGTACATGGGCCGCCTCACCGATGTCTACCACGGCGTGCTCGGCCTCTTTGAAGTCTACGCGAGCAACGGCGTCTCGCCGTTTACACCACCGCACGTCAAGCGCGGGAAGAACCTCATGCCGATCACGTCCAACGACGAGCACATTGAGACCTTTCACGTTACGTTCTCGTCAGGGCCCGCGACGCTCCGGGACGGCACCATGTACAAGTCATATTTCATGAACGACCGCCTCTTCTCGGTGGACCACCGCTACAAGATGAAGCTCAACGTCCTGCACGAGTGGACGCTCGAGAATGTGCTGTCGCCGGACGAGAAGAACCATCCGTTCCACTTGCACTCGAACCCGTTCCAGATTGTGGCCATGACACACGGCCACGGCCTCGACTACTCGGTCGGCGACTGGCGCGACACGATCACGCTACCGTACGGTGGCAACGTCACGATCCGGTTCCGGCCCATGGATTTCACTGGTCTTGTCGCTGCCCACTGCCACATTCTGGGCCACGCCGACGTGGGCATGGCGCTCCTCGTTGAGATCCAACCCTAATCCCCTTTTTATTATCTAACCGTCCAACACGGCTCTTATTTGACTGTACGGGCAACCCAGAGTGCTCTTGGAGCAGTCGATGCCACGAAGTTGACCGAATGTCGTGCGATTTACTAGAAGTTGTACCGATACTATCTTATATGTAGTAGTTAGTTGTCGTCAACACAGGTGCGTCGTTGGTGTTAGGTGCGATGGCTATCGCCTCTGCGACTTGCTCTGCCACCAAAGCTGATAGCAGCGAGCCATCAATCCACATGTATTCGTGGCTGCAGTCTTTTCAACCGAATCAACAACATTGCTGCGTTTCTCGTTGAAGCTGGCGCCACAGCTACTCTTGGCGCCAGCTTCAACCGAAGGCGCTCCCGCCTTGCAGTATTCCAAGTATTGTTATACATATTGTGTGTACTAGCAATGCACCTATTAGTCATGCGACGCGAGCCAGTGATCACACCGTTTGAGATGCGTTGCATATCACGCGCTTGCGGCAAGGTGGTCGGTGCTGTCGCTTCCATGCACCACCCGCGCTCGAAAAGCCGCGCGTCGGCCAATTGGAAACCGCCAAATGCGCCGATTGGCTAAAAAGGCGAAGCCAGGCGCCTTCGACAGGGATTCGAATTTCGCAATAAGACTAAGATACGCTTCACTTTGCCTTTTGCCATGTACGGCGCCATCGAGATCAGCGAGCGCAAGGACCCGTTCCGCGTCTTCCTCGCGCTCCTCTCTGCGCTCTGCGTTGGCACGCTCTACGTCCTGTATCCGCACCTCGACCTCGCGGCCTACAACACGCCCGTCGTGCAGAACTTTACCTCGGCGTCGCTCCTGGCGCTGGCGCGGGACCTTCCGCCGCTGCCATCGCCGCCGGTATACAAGAGCCACAATGGTGTGCTCGAGATCACGCTCACGGTCCAAGCGACGCGCTTTACAAACGGGCCGGTCGCGTTCACAACGCGCAGCTACAATGGCCTCTTTCCGGGTCCGACGCTCTGCGCCAAGCCGGGTGACACGCTGCGCATCACTCTCATCAACCAGCTCGAGGCGGACGCACCGTCCGAGGGACTGCACATGAACACGCTGCGGGACCCGAACACGACCAACATTCACTTTCACGGCATGCACGTGTCGCCGTCGGGCGTCGCCGACAACGTCCTGCGGGCGCTCAAGCCGGGCGAGTCGATGGAGGTCATCGTCAAGATCCCAAACGACCACCCGCTCGGCGTGTACCACTACCACCCGCACCACCACGGGTCGGTGTTTTTGCAAATGGGCGGTGGCATGGTCGGCGCCATCTCGATCCAAGACAGCGTCGACGAGGTCGACAACGTCCTCGTGCTGCAAGCGTACGGCTTCAAAGGCGGCATGCTTGGCAACCTAATTGGCGCCGCCAACGTCTCCAAGAGCACGCTGCCCATGGACGTGCAGCTCACCAACATGAGCCACAAGCGCGTCTCGGACGCGTTTCCCGACTACCAGCCGCGCTTTAGCGCCCCAGCGACGTCGTACCCGTCGTTCTACACAGTCAACGGCCAGTACCACCCGCGCATGACGCTTTTGGACGGCGAGCGCAAGCTCTTTCGGCTCATCAACGCCGGTCCGACGCAGATTCTGGAGCTGTCCGTGCCCGGCTGCGACGTCGAGGTGTTTGCAAAGGATGTCTTCCCGCCCGCTGAAACCAAACCCGAATTCATCATCGTCTCGCCGGGCGCCCGCGTCGCATTCACAGTGCAGTGCCACCTGCACGGTACCGTCATCTTCTGACGCTGTCCCCACCAATGATGCTGCGTAGGTCGTCCAATGGGTCTCTTTCCGTTCGTGTCGTCGCCGCACAGCAAAAGCGCTGCTTACATGGGCCGCCTCACCGATGTCTACCACGGTGTCCTTGGTGTCTTTGACGTCCGCGCAACGTCCGCGTCCGTGCCAGCACTCACGTTGCCTCGGAGCAATACGCTGCGGGATCTCCGCGGTATCACCGAGTCGGACGAAACCATTGAGCGCTTCCACGTCAGCTTTTCGTCGGGGCCACCGGCGGTGCGGGATGGCGCCACGTACAAGACGTACTACATGAACGGGATGCTCTTTGACCCGACCGTGCGCTACCAGATGAAGCTCGGGCAGCTCTACGAGTGGACGCTCGAGAACGTGCTCTCGTCTGAAGAGAAGAACCACCCGTTCCACATCCACACCAACCCGTTCCAGATTGTGAGCGCGTCGCACGGCAACGGGCTTGACCACTCGATTGGCGACTGGCGCGACACCATCACCTTGCCGTTCGGTGGCAACGTCACGATCCGGTTCCGGCCCGTCGACTTCACGGGGCTCATCGCCGCGCACTGCCACATCCTCGGGCACTCGGACGCCGGCATGCTCATGCTCATCGAGATCCAGCCGTAAGAAAACTATATACGATTATATATCCACATACGACTACCTTATGCCGGGTGCCCGAGCGAGTACAAGAGGTTCTCGACGTCGTCCACGTTGTTCATGTACAGATGCGCGTTGCTCGGCTTCTTCCCGACCGTGCACGTAAACACGTGCTGGAGCGAACCGGTGATGTGGAGGCGCCCGTCATCGGCGTCGTTTGCGGCGTGTAGCATTGACGCTTGGCCGTGCACGCTCTCTTCCGACCGCTCGGCGTAGTACTCGTATATGCACTTGAACATGCTCTCGTCCGTCGTGTCGTCGCCAATGCAAAAGATAAAGTCCGGGTGGCCGCGGTGCAGCTCCGCGTCGCTCGAGAGAATATGGCGCGCGACCACGCCCTTGTTGAGACCCTCGGGGACAATCTCGAGGAGGCCCTTCTTACGCACGATCGTGATTGGCAGGTCCTTGATGACTTCTTCGAGGTCCGTTTGAAGCGAGTTGGCTTGGATGAGCCCCCACTCGGGGTCCGTCGACCGAAAGTTCCACGCAATGCCTTGGTCCATGTACCGGATCACGCTGCCATTCGTGCGCGAGAGGTACGTGCGCAAAATCGGGTCGACAATCTCGCGGATCGGCTGCCAATCAAACTCGACACGGTGGTGGAACCACGACCGCGACGACGAGCTGTCCGCCTCGTCGCTGCTGTCGACTGTCGCGTCCTTGGGCTGGTAGTGCGTATCTAGCAAAGGAACATCAATACGTTGCTTGCAAAGTGAAAACGGTACCTTCTTTCGCCGTCCCAAAGCGAATCGAGCGCGCCCACGAAAAGAGTGCGCCATTGTCGGCCGCGAGCCCGAGCCCGTCAATGTGCCCGAGGATGTTGGTCAAGTTGACTTGGCTCACGCCCGAGATGATGAAAACCGTGTTGTTCGGGTCCGCACACAGCTTTTGGAGCGACGCCATCATGCGCGACGTCGGAATCTTGCCCGTGACCGCCGTAAAGTCCTTCTTCATGTACATCGAGATGTTTTCGCGCGAAATGATCGTGCCGCCGTAATCCAGCAAAAACACGCGGCGCCGCGACGTCTTGTACGCGTGCTGGACCTTGGTTACGTCCAGTTTCTGAAAGTCGAGGCTGCTCGTGTCGTCGTCTTCCTCGCTGCACTCTTGCAAAATCGCGAGCACTTGACGCGTCCAGTTGGATGACGGCTGGCTCGTAATGTACGGCAAGTCGCGCGCGCGCCGCCCCATGCGCTCCTCGTCGCTCATGTTGATCGCGCGGTCCAGCGAGTTGACAACCTCGGAAATGTTCCACGGGTTCACGCGCAAACCGCCGTTGAGGACGCAGCAGCAGCCGGAAAACTCGCTCAGAATCACGACGCCGGCTTTGCTGCCTGGCAAGGCGCCCTTCGCAAAGACGTACTCGAGCGGGTACAAGTTGAGACCGCCGCGAATCGACGTCACCATGAGAATGTCGCAGGCCAGCCAGAGCGCGACGCGGTCGTGGAGCCCGAGCGGCCGCTCGGTTTCTTCATAGTCAATGACGTCGCCGTGTGACGTCTTGATGCGCTGGACGAGCTCGCGAATCTCGTGGCTCGAATACTCTTCGTCGCCAAGGCGCGCCGTCGAAAAGTGACAGCGCTGAACGAGCACGAGCTTCTCCTTGAGGTTGGTGCACATGCTGAAAAACTGCTCAAACGCGAGCAGCTTGAGCGGGATGCCGCTGAGACGCTGGCACGGGTCAATGCCCGCAATGAGCTGCTTGCCCTTGTGCTTCTCACGCAGCGCGGCGGCCGCCGCTTGCACCTCCGGGTTCATGAGCGCTTGGCGGATGATCTCCTTCTCAATGCCCACGTGGCTGATCGTGATGACAACGTTCCGGCCCTTGTAGTCGACGCCGAGGTTCACGCCACAGCGCGACTGGTACGTGAGTCCGAGGAAGCGCTTGCACGCATTGAGGAAGTGGCGCGCGTGGTCAAACGTGTGGAAGCCGACAACGTCGACTTCGAGGACGCCTTCGAGCAGCGCCGTGCCGTTCGAGAGCTCGCGAAAGATCTCGGACGTAGGAAAGGGCACGTGCAGGAAGAAGACAATCTGTGGCCGCGGCTTCTCTTGGACCTTGCAATAGTCGACGACGAGCTTGGGCATCAGTAAAAGGTGGTAGTCGTGCACCCAGAGAATGTCCTTGGGCTTGCAGAGGTCCGCGACGGCCTGCGCAATGCACTGGTTGACCTTGTTGTAGGCTGCCCACCAGCGCCCGTTGTTCTTCTCTTCCTTCCCGCTCGTGTACTCGCCGTCGTCCCACACCGACGAGTAAATGTCGAGAATGTCGACGTTGTGGAACATCGGCCACAGCTTCGACTTGCAGTACCCTTGGTAGTGGTCGGCCGCGACCTCGGGGCTGATAAAGACCGCGTGCGCGTCCATGGCCGTGAGGAGCTCCGTGATCTCGGCAATGTCATCGTCCGTCATCGGAGACCCTTGGTACTCCATCGCGACGCAGCCGACCCACTTGACGTTCATGCTCTGCGCAATCGTGCCTTCCGAGCGAGCAATCAAGCTGTCCTTGTCCCACTCGGCGTGCCACGTCCCGTCAATCTTGTGGAGATGGATCGGCAGGTGGTAGCAGATGAGGAAGAGCGTCGCGTCTTCGTTCGGCTTGTAGTTCGACGACGCGTGGCGCTTGAAGCGCGGTTGCATCTTTTCCTTTGTGCCACCTTGGCGAAATCGCAGCACGGACGACGAGCGCTGCATGGCCGACGCAACAAGGCCCTTGACGTCGACCTTGCCCGTGATCTGCGCTTGCTTGGCGCTGTGCGTGAGAACCTTGCGCATGTACACAATGCTCCGGTTGTGGATTTCCGACGTCCGCTGGAGCACGCTGTTGGGGTCGTACGTGCCAAAGTCCTCGGCGATCGTCATCTCGCGGCCCTCGGGCACGATCACGCGGTCGTGGTCGATCTGCTCCCACTTGGAGAAGGCGCCGCCGAGGAAGAGCGCGTACATATACCTATGAGCGATCCCGCGCGGCAAAATGAGCGGCTTGGACGTCCGCCAAATCGGGTAGTCCTCGGGCGTCGTCACTAGTTCAATGCTCTCGCTCGGGTTGTACTGGCCCATCGTGTACGATGCGCCAGAGCAATGCAGCTCTTCGCCAAGGCGCGTCTCGGCGCGGACGCGGAGATGGACGCGCGTATACGTGCCCGCGTTGACGTCCCCGTCATCGAGGAGCGCGTCGTCGTCGCGCGGGAGGTCCAGGCGGGGTATGGCCTTCTTGCCTCGTCCCGCCGAGCCGATCGAGCTGGCCGAGCCCACATGCGAGAGGCTTCCTCTGTCGGATACCGGCTCCATGAACATGTCTACCTCGGCGTCCATGGCCCCTTCCGCGTCCCCATGCATCGGCGCGGACATGGGCGGCAAACGTCCGTTGAGCGTCCCGAATTCTTTCTCCTAAATTCACGGAGAACTTCCCCACAATTTATACATGGGATTTCAGAGGTCGCACTGCCACCACCTCCGAATTCTATTTTAACTAGGATATGTCCTACATGAACAGGGCATACAAATGCCAAGGTAGACTCTTGAATAAGGTCAAAATGTGAAACGTCAGCCTATTTTTGTTTTAAAATATTACCCTTTTTTTTGTAGGTGCTATTTTAATGTATCATGTCATGGGATGAGATTCGCAGCATTCAAGGGCAAGGTCCTCGCGGTTGGCAATGCCTCCACGAACCAAGTGGCTCGGGGTTCAGAGCAACAGTCGACCGACCGTATTTGTTGCATCCTTCTTGTGGCAATGGCCGACCAAAAGCTTGTGCGAACGGCTGACCAAAGGTCCATGCATAGCTCCTTCCCAGACTATTGGTACAACAGTCGATTGCGAATATGCAAGTGTAATCAACGACGCGCTAGTATGATTGCGGAAGCTGATGGCATGGGCCTGACGCCCACATCATTGGCCTGTTGGGCGCTTCCATGGATATACGCTCCATCTTCCACGAAATGACAAAACGCCATGGCTTGATGGGCCTTCGAAATATCCTCGCTTCTTCATGTCATCTTCGACTCTTCATCCTCGAATCAGCTAGTATGGGCGGATCCAAGCCACACTGGCCTCTGAGAGAGTACATCCTCTACGGGACAAAGCCGCGGCTTGCCGGTACCCTGAAGCTGCGCGCTTCCATGCAATCGTTGACGTCCCAAACGAACTTGAAGTGGCGTGCATTTAGCCTCTGGTCCTGTCCAACAGCAACGCCCTGCAGTCCGCTTTTGAAATCGGATGTATCCGAAATAGAGACCTAATTAGGCATGTCCCGCGTGATCTTTGTGTTTGCTCACAGATGAATCGCATAGATCATGCGACTCGACGCAAAGAGATGCGTCGCTTCGATCTCAGCTGGACCAGGATCTCAGTTTTCCATTTTCCTTGGCGGTCGTATGTCATCGCTGTACCTGCGCCGCGTCCTCTGCGGCTGTGCCACCACCATGTTCCTCTCGGCCACCTTCCCGGTCGCGCTGCCCCACTCGCGCCTCGCCCGCAAGGCCATTGGCGCCGAATCCACCAAGGAACTCGACGAGACCGATACGTTTCTTCAGACGGCGCGGTCGATCGCCACGCAGCTCGGCGTGCGCCACCCCGAGCACATCCGCGTGCTGGTCGACCAGGCCGGCGGCGAAGGTGGCGGCGCGCTGGGTGCCGATGTGTTTGGACAGTCGGCCATTTGGATCTCCGAGTCCATCTACCGCGGCTTCCACCAGGCGCCGTCGGCCGAGAGCACGATCACAGACCTCGAGGCCGACCCCGCACGCGACGAGGTCGAGTTTATCCTTGCGCACGAGTGCGCCCACATTGCCAACAACCACTCGCTCAAGATGACGTCGTTCATCCCGGCGTCCATGTTTGGCAGCTATGCGCTCGCGACCAAGGTGCCCAACAAGCTCCTCGGCGCGGTGCTCGGCTTTGGCCTCGTCGTGTTTGGTGGCCTCTATCTCTCGTGGGACATGGAGCACGAAGCCGACCATCTCGCGGCGTCGCTCGGCCAGCGCTTCCGGTCCGGTGGTCTCTCGACGTTCGAGCGGTCGCGCGTCCGCAACTGCTTTCTACGTACGTATTTTGACACGCGCATGATCACGGAGGACGGCAACTACCTCGGCGACACGTCGCACCCGTGGCTCACGACCCGGATCCACCACTTGGAGCACATGCAGTGCGACGAGCACGACCACGCGTGCATCTTTTGCAGCTGGTTCTCGCAGACGCTCAAAAGCGGTCTCGACCTTGTGTGCGCCAAGGTGCTCTAAGCGCTGTATTTATTACCTATATATTTAAAAGAATAAGAAACACCGACTGCTCTCTGTCCATCTCCTATCCTAATGGAATGCTTCCGTCGCACTGGTATCGCGTACCTACGCGTGTACTCGCCTCGCGCCATGGATGGTGCTGCCCGTGACGAAATTCGCGATGCGTTGACTGGCTACGTGTGGACGGTCGGGCAACCGACCAAGTCGAACCGGGCCTTCTATCGATGGGCGCATGTACCGGACTAGTAGCGCACGGTCATGCAGCGCAACGGATGTAGACACTCGGTCTCTCGGCTTGGTTGTCGTGTTCCGTCTTTACGCCTCGGTGCCACTTGCCTTGTCCGAGGTTTTGTAAAAGCACAAGTCGTCCGACATGTTGGAGCCAAGCTCTCGAAAATGACGGCTGACGTTCTTCATGACGTGGATCGCCTCCTAGCACACGATGCATGAGCGCAGCCATGCGACGATGATTGTACTTGGATGTTCTCGGACGAGTACGTGAGCGACTCGTTGACGTTGTCCATGCGGATGTTGGCGTCGTGGAAGGCCGCTTGGCTGACGTCCCAGGTGCCTACCCGAGCCTTCTCGTGCGCGTTATCTGTCCACAAGATAGGCTGCATCAGCCCAAGCATGCCAGAATAGAACGTACGGAGGAGAAAGAGCTGCTGCTCGAGGGCGAGGCGCGGAGCAGGCTTCTTGGCCAGCGCCGGGAGCGCGATCGAGGACTTGAGCGCCTTGGCCTTGGCCTCGACCGCGGTCTTGTTGAGCTTGTTGGCGTACTCGCGGATCATGCTCGACATCTGCGGGATCTGCGCCATGGGGGGCATGCCCCCGATCGCCGACGCCAGCATCGGGTCCATCTTGCTTTGTGAATTCCGGATAAGCACTTGAGTACGGATATTGACCAACTCACAACGATCTTCCGCCGGCAGAGGACGATGGCGTACAAGTAGCTCATGCGATCGCCCATGAGGTTACCAAATGCC